GCGGCGGCGGCGGCGACTGCATGAGCCCGTCCCGGCTGTTCGTGCCGGCGGGGCATGACGCATGGCAGCGTGACGGGGCGTTTCCAACGGCTCGTGTTGACCTGCGGCGCCGAGGCTGCGCAGCATGACGCAGCGGCCGGGCGCGGCGCCGGTCCGCTCCCGGCGGACGGCGCGCGCGGGACGGCGGGCGGCCAGCGCGGCAAGCCGGCCTTAATTTGACCCTAGCCTGGCAGCCGGTGGTGCGCGCCGCTAACTCGCCGTGCAGCAGCGCCTCGGCAGCAGCTTCCGCCGCCGACCGACTGCGCAGGTCCTCAGCTGCCGACTTCGAAGCGGCGTGGGTCGCGGGCGCTCTAGGCGTGTTCAGGTGTTGTGCTGAGATCGTGGTTTGTTCGTTGCAGATCGGCGTGCTGGAGGATGACTTCAGCTGCCTCGGCATCTTCTGCGCCATCTTCTTCTTCCCTCTCGGCATCCTCTGCTGCCTTGCCACGCGCCAGCGGCGCTGTCCAAACTGTGGCGCCATCTTCGGATGATCCGGCGAAGGTCGAGTTCCGGTCACGGTCGATAGGGCTGTGGTATTGCGCGCAATTCATGAGCTCTAGACCGACGTGGTTCGAGAGAGCTCTTGCTGTCCGGAACACAGTGCCAAAAACGACCTCACGCTTCCCTTCCCGTTGCCGAAAATGACCTCCGATTGACCTCCGATTGACCTTTGGCCCACTTCAATTGAGGTGCCGCGATCTCGCCTTTTCCGCTGTTTCCCGCGCACACGTGGAGGGAGTCTTGATTCGGTGATAACCGCCTCAGTGAAAGGCTTTTGAGTGGGATCATTGCAGGATATTGAGTTGAGCCCAATTTGGATATCAAGGTGAACCGGTCACTGGCTTGTAACAAAATCGGGGACGTGTGTGTTTCGTGCTAGCCGTAGGAACGCGCCTTTGACTTATGCCGTGTAGTGCTGAGCGCGGGTCGAGGGGAGGAAAAGAGCGCCGACGAGTCCGACACGGGCGCTCTATATAGGGTGAGTACCGGGGGTAGAGCACTGTGCCTGAAGTGCTTTCTCATTACGGCACTGAAGCCAGTTATTCATCTCGTGTGTAGCGTGTAGGGCATCCCGTTATTCCATGATGCTATTTCAACATTCGTATCCGCTGTGTGCACGAGTATTGCTATAGATACTGTATCATGTATGCTGTATCCACGGTTGTATCCACAAAGCACGGCTGGCGCGCGTGCCGAGCGTCCCCGCTGGCGCCGTACGCCGCGCTGGCCAGGGACCTATGTGGACCTCCGGCCATGACATCGGCGCCTATCCGATGCTCGCCGTGTTTATGGTGCACTCGGGTAAGCATTGGTCGTCGGCGCATGCTGCCGCGTGGTCCTATTGTTGATTGCAGGAGTGAATAAATATATTTCGTTAATGACGCGCGGCTTTCGTCAACGAGTGTTCGTAACCTAGTGATGAAGGCGCTAGGTTAAGGACCGGAAGGTCCGGGTTCGAATCCCGCCGTGCGAAACATTTTTCAGACTCTACTTCCAGCGAGTTTGACATCAGTTGGGATCCTAGCATTGGTCGGTCTCGATGGCGAGCACGACGAATGGACCGCACCGAAAACAGGACACAGAGCGGGGGGGGGGGGGGGGGGGCTGCAGTGACCAGTGCCTCTACGCGGGTGTCAGGGCGTCGGCAGCCCATCAGCCAGACCGCTCCATCGGCTACAGCCCACCAGCCAGACCGCTCCGCCGGCGGCAGCCCACCAGCCCGACCGCTCCAGCGTCGGCAGCCCACCAGCCAGACCACTCCACCGGCGGCAGCCCACCAGCCAGGCCGCTCCTGCGTCGGCAGCCTACCGGCGCCGCACGGGCGACACCTGCCGGCGGCGACCACCTGCCGGAGGCGTCCCACACCAAAGCGCCGCCCGTCACTACCGTGCTGGATGGGATACACGAGGAACACCGTGCACGTCTGCCAAAACTTGAGCGATGTGCCCTGACTTTTACTAACAACACAGCAGTCGGAGGAAGCGCGTGAGCCAGACCCCAGCATCGGGAGAGTCGGGCGAGGAACACAGCACGCGAATGTCGGTTATGCGCGGATGAGGCCGAGGGCCAGAGCTTGTCCGAAACCTCGCTCCCCCTCCCCACCCCGCCGCAGTTTCAGTCTCGGGCTCTTCGACATCTGCGCTGCGTCCACTCGGCGGCGGTGAAGGCCTCTGTGGGCGTGCCGATCTTGGAGTGGGGGGCCCGGCTGCGTCAACCACCGCGCGTCTGAAAAACCAGGGGTGCGGGGTTCGATTCCCGCGGTGGCCCGTCCTCGCTGCCAGGGTGATAGGCAGGCGGAGATGTCTGGCCTCAGCAGCTGAGTGCGTCGTAAAGCCCCAACGACGACGATGGCGAAGGCATCGATGGCCTTGGCGGATGAGGTAAAACGACCACCCCCGAGCAGGGGTGGGCTGCGACAGCGCATGACCTGGTGCATGGCGCCATTTCTGTCGTCGCGAGCCCAGCAAACGACACACGCTGCCCCAGCGAAGACCTCGGGCGGCTGCTCCGCACAAGTGGACACCATGGGCACCTCGGGGGATGCTTGTACCAGACACATCCGCGCCGATGACAAGGGAGCGCGTATGGTAGCGTGTATTGTGTCCATCACCTACGTGTAAAGGGAGGTCGCGCGGTGCTAGTTGGTCGCCAACAGCCGGTGTGTGGCCCGCGCGTGACATTTTCGTTTACAAAAGAGCGGGGTGCATGCAGTCGGGTGCGCCGATGATCTGTCGGCAGCAGAAGGTCTGACATGGCCGGGATTCTGACGATCGGGTGCACGGGGTGTCCGCGCACCCGAGAACGGACTCGCTCGTCGCAATGCGTCTGATGACAGGCACGACTGTAGGTCTCCGTTGCTGGGAACATGTGATTTGTTCCGGAAAGCCCGTCCCGGGTGGGTCACCCTCTGCCCCCCCGGGTGGGTCACCCTTTGCCCCATGTGGTCTGTCGCTGGCGAACGATCTGAACACTGACGACGGGGATATTTGATGACGGCTGGGGTCTGCGCACATGAGCCGAAATGTATGCAATGAAACGCGATAGGATGTCGGATTCAAAGCCACGTGACTACACCTGCCACTTCAAATGTGTTGACACGCGCTCGGGTGGGGGTCAATTCTCCCCCCCCCCCGAAAGTTTATACACGGCGTGGTTCGGAAACTATGTTGTACGCTTAGCGCCAGGGCTCGGACGCGGAAACTATTCGGAAACTATGTAGTACGCTTCGTACGCTTAGCTTTGCATAGCTGCAGGCAGTCAAACAGCAGATCTTTTGGTATAAATAATTAGATGTGCATTGTAAAGGCGCTGATCTATGACCAGTCAAAGCCAGGCTGTGACTGTCAGCGGAGACAATTTCTGGGGAATCCTTCAACATGATGCGACAACGTAGTTTTGTACGAAACTACACATATATGTTATGTTTTTAGGCCATACAACGAGCAGAGTAAGCATTGCAACAAAATCCATTGACCTTGGATCAGCAACCAAGGTCGGACCGAGGTCAAAACCAGCCAGCTGTTTTACTAGATTATGGGCTGTACGGAATAGTTTCTGGTGCTCATTTCGAATTTATTTCTAAGAGACCGTAAGAGACAGTTTTTAAGGACTTCCTAAAGGTCCGAGCAGGTAACTGACCTAAAATGACCGTGGTTAACATTTTGGTTTTAGGAACATGCCGCCTAGCGCAATCCTTGACACTGATTCAAACGCTGTAACCATTTTGGAACTCGGAGCTGTTGCATTGTTGCGCCTGTTTTTGAGAATATTACCGCTTCTCGGCGCTGACGAACAAGACTGACAACGACGTTGTAACAGCGCAATTGCTCGGGCTGCCGCGAAGGTGTTGATCGCTAGGCAGGTACATGCGCTTATCAGTACACCACTAATGTCTACACGGGCGCGTAGTAATTTAATTACGCATAGTATCGGCTGTATCCGACATTACGACACTAGTATTTGCGTAGCAGGACGTTTATACTGCGCTTGTGATTTTTTAAAACACCAGTAGGTGCTGCTCTTGTTTTCCTTCTGCAGGAGTCCAGCTTTGTTCATGCAGAGCGTGGTTCTTACAGCTGCAAATGTGTGCGATTGTACCGCCAGTTAAACACGATTCATACTTGAATTAATGCCATCTATGTTTTAATTCAGTTATTCTTCGACCGACTGGCACGCGCAATTGCTTGCAAAACTGAAGGAACCTGTTCTGGGCACGTTTGACCTTGGGCTGGCTTGGTTTCGCTTGGAAGGTTTCATGGCGAAAACTGATCCTGGCTGCTCAGCTGATAACGGCCTCTCCATTCAAATTAAGTGGTGAAGTGCTGGTTGAGTGGGGCAGCGCTACGTCGTATGCGCAACTGGATAACATACGCATCGGAAATGTCGTCTTTACTGCACCAACTGGCACTCATGTCGCACTCATGATGCACCCATATGGCACGATGTTAACCAGCTTGCCGATCGGTATGTTCGTCCCGTGGGTTCAATGCATACCAAAGACAACAAACGAGTCCCTGCGTCATATATGAGCTATGCAACCTGAAACCTGTGCCCATCACAAAGAAAACCGATCAAACAGCCTGCGCTGACCTGATCCCCAAGCGTCTGCCTGCGAGCACACGGCACCGATATACTGGCTGCGCTTGGCGGTGGCCCCGTGACGTCACTGCTGGCGCTCGTGCTGGCTCGTGCCAAGCAGGCCCGCAGCGTGCGAGGCGCCTGAGAAGGGAGACTCCAGGTGCCCCGACGCACAAAAGGGGAGCTCCGGGTGCTCCGACGCTCAGAAGGGGAACTCCGGGTGCTCCGACGCTCAGAAGGGGAACTCCGGGTGCTCCGACGCTCAGAAGGGGAACTCCGGGTGCTCCGACGCTTCGAAGGGGAAACCCCGGGTGCTCCGACGCTTAGAAGGGGAACTCCGGGTGCTCCGACGCTCAGAAGGGGAACTCCGGGTGCTCCGACGCTCAGAAGGGGAACTCCGGGTGCTACGGACGCTCAGAGGGAGAACTCCGGGTGCTCCGACGCTTAGAAGGGGAACTCCGGGTGCTCCGACACTCAGAAGGGAAACTCGTGGTGCTCCGACGCTCAGCAGGGGAACTCGTGGTGCTTCGACGCTCAGAAAGGGAACTCCGGGTGCTCCGACGTTCAGAAGGGGAACTCCGGATGCTCAGATAAGCCGGGGAACCCGTCGAATGCGAAGCTGCGGCCGGGCTCGCCCTGGTCCAGCGAGCTCAGCGCCGCCATGTCCAGCTCGTCTAACTGGAAGCTGAAAATGTCGCCGTTTCTCGCGGATCCGCGTCGCCTTGGTCGACTTGGGGATGACGATGATATCCTGCTGGGCCAGGAAGCGCAGCAGAACCTGCGCCGCCGTCCGCTTGTGCTTCTCGGCCACCAGACGCACCACCGGGTTGTTCAGCAGGTCCGGCAGCTCGACCGTCACGCCGCGGCTCTCGTACAGCGCCTTGCGGCCGGGGGAGCCCAGCGGACCGTAAGCCGTGATGGCAACGTTGTGCTTCTTGCACGCCTCGCGCAGTGCTCGCTGCTGTAGGTAGACGTGACATTCCACCTGGTTAACGGCAGGAGGTATCTGAGCGTTGGAGGCGATCTTCAGGACTTGCTTGGCGTTGAAGTTGGACACGCCGATGGTCTTGGTGAGGCCCAGTGTCACCATTCTCTCCATCTCCTTCCACAGTGCGATCAGGTCTGTGGAAGGATCAATCAACAGCCTTCCGTCCTTGATCGGAAAGATGTCTGTTTCACTTCTCTCTATACAACCGGCTGGAAAGTGAATCAAGAACAAATCAACGTAATCGAGACCCAGCAGCCTAAGCGACTTCTTCAGGTACTTCTCCACCTTGTCAGCCTGCATGGCGATCAATGGCAGCTTGGTGACGACGAAGAGCTCATTCCTGGTCATCTTGCCCGTCTTGAGAGCGGCCTGAATGCCCTCTCCGACGCCGTCCTCGTTCTGGTAGTTGTAGGCGGTGTCGATGTGCCGGTAGCCGGCCAGCAGTGCGGCTTCCACGGCGGCGGCCACCTCCTGGCGCGGCGCCTGCCAGCAGCCCAGCCCCAGCAGCGGCATCCGCTGGCCCCCCGACAACGTCACCGACGTGTTCATGGTGCGTGGTTCGTCCGTCTGTCCTGTGCTCCCTCCGTCCGTGCCGCTCAGACGTGACTGAGGCGCCAGGCGCCGGTCGGTCGGCTCGAGCTGCGACCTTGGCGGCCGGGTACCTCAGTGGCGGCAGACGCGCAGTCAGCGTTCCCTCAGCGGAGGGCGAGAGGCGCAAGCGCGAGATGCCCTCCGAAGCCCTGCGAATTTGAGCCAAAGTCCTACGAAATCGACCATAAGGGTAAGCTCAGTGGAGGGGAGAGGCTGCCCTCCCCCTGGCAACGCCCCTGATCGGCGAACGTTCAGAGCCCAGAGCGTTCCGTGTCTGCGGGGCTCGGGCGCTGAGAGAGCATGACTGGGCCAGAAGCGCCTCTCTCCGCCGCGCGAGGAGCGACGCGACACCAGCCTGGCCTCGGCTCGAGCCTGAGCAGATCACCGTCGCACGGGCGGTGTCAGCGCGTGGATCTGGGGAGGACAGGTCTCATGCCGGATTTGTGAGAAATCACTCAGCTGTCACTGCGTCACGTGCTCGGGGCTGAGGACGGCATAGGGCCTGAAGGCAGTGTAGGATAGCGTAGGGGTGCCGTTGAATGGTGCATGCTCAAAAGTTCGTCCTTATCGCAAGAAAAATCCGTGCCAACGACTAAGTTTCGCAAAACGATTTAGGGAGCGTGGAGGGGGGGGAGGGATCTGAGCAGGGAAAAGAATGCGACCCACTTAAAAAAATCGCCAAAAATGGGATTTTCCCTGGATTAGGGCAATTTTTTCCAGGTTTGGGGAAGCCGGAGTCCAAGTTGGGGAGAGGCTGAAGTCCCGCAAACCTATGGCCTTATATGTTGCCAGACTAGTACCAATGGAAACGACTGGACTTTCCCATGCTTTGACTTGCTTGCTTGCTATGAAATAGACCATTTAAAGATAAAGACGATACACAGTGAGAGAGACGGACCTCAAGACTTGAGTGCACAACTTGACGAAGGCAGCCGGTCTTCCACCGAAGAATATTAGCCTGGACCCAGTGCCCGGTGGATGCAAATGCATATGGATACGCTCTAGTTCAACCGCACTGGTTGTGGCGTCGTTTCTGAGTGATGAGTGAGAGTCTGTGTTACAGTCCACCAGGAAATGAAACACTTGGCTCACCACGGCTCTTCACCAATCTCCTGAGTGAAACACCTTTTGTTTCACTGGCCACTGCTGCGTTCATTATTTGCGCCTCCTGAAAGCCGAACCCAGCATGAGCTGTGCTTGTTTTCATCATCTGTTACCACCGGTCCAGACGAAGCCAGCCTGGTGGGCAGTCCCGCCTTAGAGCGTGCAGACCAGCCGGCGTGTCGCAGCCTGACGGTGTAAAGTAGCGCCACTGTCGGCTGTATGGCGCCACTGTCGACGAGTGTGGGCGCCCCTAGGCATGTCGCAGCCTGACGGTGCAAAGTAGCGCCACTGTCGGCTGAATGGCGCCACCGTCGACGAGTGTGGGCTATTGACTGTTGACTGTAAGGCGTTGACCATTGACTGCGACATTTGATTGCGACTGTTCACTGCTGACTGCTTGCTGTTGACTGTGACCGTTGACGCTCACTGTTTGCTGTGACTGTTGACTGCTGACTCTCAGCTGTTGGCAGTTGGCTGTTGAACGGTGTGGGCGCCACCGTCCCCTGTGTTGACTGTTTATTGTTTGCTTTTAACTGTAGACAGTTGACTGTTAGCTGGGCAGCCCTGACAGCCGAGCGTGACCGGCTACCGCCGAGCTGCTCTGGCGGAAGGCACATGAGAGCTATGCGTCGTGCCCGTGCGTTGCCGGGCTGCTCTGGCGGGAGGCACATGGGAGCTATGCGGCATGCCTGTGCGTTGCCAAGTTGCTCTGGCGGGGGGGGGCCATGAGAGCTATGCGGCGTGCCTGTGCGTTGCCAAGCTGCTCTGGCGGGAGGCACATGGGAGCTATGCGGCATGCCTGTGCGTTGCCAAGCTGCTCTGGCGGGAGGCACATGAGAGCTATGCGGCGTGCCCGCGCGTTGCCAAGCTGCTCTGGCGGGAGGCACATGAGAGCTATGCGTCGTGCCCGTGTGTTGCCGGGCTGCTCTGGCGGGAGGCACATGGGAGCTATGCGGCGTGCCCGTGCGTTGCCGGGCTGCTCTGGCGGGAGGCACATGAGAGCTATGCGGCGTGCCCGTGCGTTGCCGGGCTGCTCTGGCGGGAGGCACATGGGAGCTATGCGGCGTGCCCGTGCGTTGCCAAGCTGCTCTGGCGGAGGCACATGAGAGCTATGCGGCGTGCCCGTGCCGGTCGGCTCTTCGGTCCGACACGTGACCCGGCCGCCGGCGCTCGCAGACTCCTGCGCGATATCGCTCGGCAGCGGAGGTCGCCGCTAGATAGCGCTGCTGATATCGCACGGCTGTGAGGGTCTGCAAACAACTTTGTACAGACGCACTGTCCTCTTACCGATCCGATGTGGTTAGATTTAAAGCATTTCTGTGTAAGCATGGCCGGTATCTTTAGAAGTGTGCAGGGGCGTAGCTTCGCATTTGACTTGAACGGGGGGGGGGGGGGGGGGAGCAGTGAAGAAGAATGTCGGAGCCTGCCTCCAAGAAGACGCGAAGAAGTGGGCTTCTTCCTGAATTGGACACCCTTCCTTTCAAAGCAGGAAGGCTGGAGCCAAGTGGCGACGGCTGGAGTTCACCCATGATTCTTCGACACATTGTAAATGCAGCACCACGGGCTGTGCAAGCTCTCTGTCTGGCGGCTGACGCTGGGCGCCGAGCTTGCTGTCTGGCGGGCCGACGCTGGGCACCGAGCGCTGCCCGCGCCTGGGCCTCTCTGCTATCTAAAACGGTCTTGGGTCCCCGGTTTGCCTGAATTCGGCGGCGGTCTTTCACGATCGAGCCGAGTGCAGCCCACCGCAGCCGCCGCCAGACGACCTGCTGTATCGCGTCACTCGTGTGCCTCGAGTGCAGCCCGCCAAGCCGCCGCCACACGACCTGCTGTACCGCGTCACTCGTGTGCCTCGAGTGCAGCCCGCCACAGCTGCCGCCAGACGACCTGCTGCACCGCGTCACTCGTGTGCCTCTGGAGCCACCTAGCGGACGAAAATGTGACTAGAGAGGTAGCCCTGCTGACAGCTCATCTGACAAGCTGTGGCAGGTTCAGAGGAAGGGGCGAGGAGACACAGGGCCATAGTGTGGCCCTGGGCCGAAGGGACACCGAAATATCGTGTTGAAGGGGCAGTAGAAATTCCATTTAAGACCCACATAACCTATGTGTTTAAGGCGCACCAAAGTTGAGGGGCACCTCAAACGGTCCCAATGATTCAGTTCAACGTAGAAATAAAATAAGATTGACCTCTAGAAATAAGCGGGGACTAACCTCCGAATCCGGGGGACTATTCCTGCCAAATATATTTTTGGCCGCTTAAACTACGCATCTGAGCATAAAAAGCAGATCCGGAGGACTTCTTTGCGAGGGGGAGGGGGGGGGGGGGAGGGCAGGAGGCACCACAAGCAAAGTGCGCTCCTCCCCTGACGAAAACCTGGATCCGCCCGCCGAAAAGACGGTATGCTGAGAACGAAAGTGGCGTTGTCTGAGGGGGAGGGGAGGATTTTAGTGCATGACCACGTCCTGGAGGTGGCGATGGCCTTGTGCTGCCGGCCCAGTCCTGTTTTGGCAGTTTCATACGCTCGAAAGGCTTCTAAAACATCCAAAAATGGAGCATCGATGCATCCAAAAATCGGGTACCGAGCTTAAGGAGTTTGCTCCTAATGCAAAAGCGGGGGCTCTAAGGAACACTGGCAACACCAGTGGGGGAAGCTGGTGTGGCAGCGGGGAACACTGGCAACACCAGTGGGGGAAGCTGGTGTGGCAGCGGGGAACACTAGCAACACCAGCGGGAAGCTGGTATGGCAGCGGGTGGAACACTGGCAACACAAGCGGGGAAGCTGGTGTGGCAGCAGCTGGACAAGAGCGGGGCTGCCACACGCTTTCCAGGGGCTGTACATCAGGGCTTCAGAGACCATGAGCTGATATAGTGGATCTGAGCAGGTGCCAGCTGGTGCTATTGCCAGTTGGTGCCAGTGGTGCTATTCGGCACAATAAATCTCCCGGTTGACCGTGCGGATGATGACGCTCTTCTAATGATAAGTCCTCACCCAGCTCCCACCCCCCCCCCGCCTCCAACGTAAGAAGGTCCTGGCTGCGGCCCTGCTGAGAACGACCCGTTGTTCAGAGGCGTGGGGTGCCAACACTGCAGCATCGCCACAGCCGTGCAGGCCTTCAGAGGCTTGGGGTGCCAACATTCCAGCGTCGTGACAGCCGTGCAGCATCTCAAGAGGCGTGGGGGAGACAACATTCCATGCATCGCCACAGCCGTGCAGGCGTCTGAGGAGGACAGGTGTATGGCACAGGTCTCCTCATTCACGAAATGATCGTTCTGACTATGGTCTACAGCCTTATACAGCGGTAGATCACGCTCACTGTGTTCAATTACACCTACGCTCGTGGTTCATTCTAGATAAACAGAAAAAGCACAGCAAATTTAGCTGCGGCTGCTGTGACCGTCAAGCAAATTAGGGTCAATTATTTTTATTCATCAGATTATTTAGATTGTCAGGTCTCGGTGCCAGCATTGCAATAGGTAGTACGGGAGGGTCAAATCTGCTTAGGTGTTGGAGAAATGTCGCCAAATGAAAGCGTGTCCTACCAGACAAAAACAGGCTCGATTTTTGGAAGACAGGAAAGTGTAGGGCATCAATAACGTCTTAGTTCGCAGTCTTGCAAAACAGCGATACTGATTAACTTACCTATCAAACGAGTGGGCGGGGGGAGGGAGGGAGGGAGGGGAGGGAGGGAGGGAGGGGAGGGGAGGGAAGGAGGGAGGGAGGGAGAGACTGTGAAGAGAGAGTGAGAGAAAGAGAGACAAGAGGCAGAGAGCAAGAGAGAGGGAGAAGGAGGGAAAACTTGAAGAGGGAGAAAGAGAGAGGGGAAAGAGAGAGGGGGGGGGGGGGGTCAGGAGTTGGGGGCAGGGTGCTTGGTGGCGAGCGGCCGGCTCCCAAAATG